ATCAAGATCTGTATGTCACTGACAGCCTCATCATACATTGGTATAAAGGTAGCTTCAATATATACCACCATAACTGCGTTACCAGTTTAGTTACTTAGATGGACCGACGATAATTACAGACAGACATAATTACAGAGGAAGCTAATTAAGGTTTTGTCCTGTGATGCGATCATAACTGTTCCGCTATTTAAGCTATTTAAGGTTATTAAGGTCTGTTCTTTTCCGTTTCGTGTTCGATCTTCCGTGCCGATCAGTTATGTATATTTTTGATAGATGATATATAAAGTAATTCCCTTTCCCGAATCAGGGGTGATTGTTTGTTCATTGTATTTGGCATGAGTTGTTCTCCCTCTCTGCTCCCGACTACCATTTTCCATCTACCTCTTTGCTCCCAAATACCATTAATTATATCATTATGAGTACTCATTCTCAATCCCCTGAACCATCTGCCCCACTTTCCAGTCAAACCAAGCACCATGGGTCCGGGAGGCATTGGACCGATGAAGAAAGTGCTGTATTGGAAAAACATCGGGAGGAGTACAGAGACGCCAACGACGCTGCTCGTGCTGAGATATTTTCTCGAGTTTTGCAAGACATGCTCGACATACTCCTCAATGGAAAATCGTTCAAGAAGGAAGAAAGATCAGCTGTTAAAAAAGTAAGTACTTTTTCCAGGGGCCCTCTAATTGATTCCTGACGGACTTGTAGGATATTAAAGAGTGGTTTGCCCGGTACAGTCGTAAGAGAAGTCAGAAAATGCCGAGGATGGGAAAGTCGTGGCACGCCCGGCGTGTGTTCCAGCATGAGAACAAGGATGCCATCAATACCGAAGCGAAAAGGCTTTGTGCCGAAGCCATTGAAGAGGGACAAAAGAGGCCTAAAGGGGGAGATCCCACTCATTTTGATTTTCGGGAGCGGGTCGTGACTCAAATGATGGGAAAACTGAAGAAAAGGGAGAAAGACGTACTGCAGAGGACGGCCGAGGAGTACAACAAGAAGGGAGTTGACCCGGAACTCAAGTCCAAGTAAGTTAATTTTCATTATTACGAGTCCTCTGAGTTTACAAAGAGACTCGTTTATTACCCGGGATCTCGAGACTTTTTTCAGCGCGGTAACGCTGAAATTTGACTTTCTCCCACGAAAATGATTTCTTCCCACGGTTGAATGCCTCATCCTCTTCATCATATTTTCTAGTCAAATCTACCAAATCTTTGCTTAACATTTGCTTTTAGCACCCTTAGCATATGAATAGTGAAGCCTCTGCTCTCTCTCTCCTCAAATTGTTTGCTAGCCCTGTCCTAGAAACATCCCTCAACATTTCCAGAGTGTTATCGATCCATGGTATGCTTTGTCATCATATCTCATGGTTGTCACGTGTCATGGCTTGCGCTCATGGCTTCTGCTTGCAGCGTTCTCGCAGCACTCGCCTTGTGGCCTCATTATTGCTCTATTTGGCTGAAGGACTTAGATGAATCAATGTGATTTACTTTTTTTTTTGGCTTCCTTTTTACTTCAATGCAACTAACTATACTTCTTTACATTGATAGTATACCAATCATGCTCCGGCCTTGCCGGGGCGATTGGTATACTCTCAATGTAAAGAAGTATAATTTATCAACGAAAAAAAAGTAAATCACATTGATTCATCAAAGTCTATCTGCCTTTGT